GGGTTAACTCAGGTGCTCCGGAAGGGTAAGAGGTTCCTGTTCCCCCATGTGAGACCTGTCGTGTTGCTAATGCAATTACAAATCCGGTGATAGGTCTATTCGGTGATACAACAAACGAGGGAAATTTGTCTTTTAGTCAACAAAAGAAACGAAACACGGCAATGCATTTTCCTTGAATGAAACTGGAAACACGGTACCAAGCTTAAAGGTACCCAACTGGTATAATATTCGCAGACTTTTTGTTTCTTATCGAATATCATTGCTAATTGCAAAAACGCGAAACATTTATTACAGACATTAATTATATCAAATGTCTTTTTTCACCAAAAAATTCAAAAACCGATATGTATAATTAAACAAACATTGACACATAAATACGGTCAGATTGAAATTTTAATTCCATCATAGATATATAAACATCTGATTGGCATCTTCGAAATTAAGTATAGATTTTGTCATAATTTTCCGCGCTTTGATAATGATTTTTTTCATTGGATAATTTAACTGTACACGTTTTTTTTCTCTCCGATTTATAACATTTACAATGAATTCGAGTTCAAACGTGTATCCTTGTATATTTGTGATGGTTCTATGGTATGTCGCAAGGTAGTGATGCCACATTGCTTCCAATCGCTATCGGAATCATTTTTTATTCGTTCCCGGAAGCCACCAAGGAAATCCGACACAGACCAAGTAATGAAATCTTCTGAAACTTCAAAGCAGAATATTTCCAAAAATCAAAGGAAACCATCCTCCCAGAAGACTCAAATCAAGAAATAATCATGAACTGGTTAAGTGGGCGGTTTTTTTTTTTTTATCTCCCTAACTTATCGGGAGTCGAATTCGCAAGAACCGTTTGAAATATTTATCCCCTAAACTTAACGCGAAATCATTTTAATTTTATTGGAATGATGATTTGGTTAGATTTCTTATTTTGAACTGATTGGGCAGCATACATGACAATGAGCTCGCATAATTTCTGATCTTATGAAAATTTACATTCTTCTTTTTGATAAATTTAACAGCTTAAGGGGAAGGACTGGGGTATGAGAGACAACTCTTACAAAAGTATTGGAAGTCATCTGTGCGTTTTAAGCTAGCTGTTAGACCACTTTCGAGTTCGTTGCATTTCCGTCAAAAACTTTGGTTTTAGTGAACATCATTCGTGAGTTTAGGGGCAACGTCACTTCCTTCCCATTTTGAGCGAGAGGTTGAAAAAATATGATGCTATATTGCACGAATTATTCAGCAAATTAAGTTCTAATCATTGATAATCAACACTGCTGTCATTAGGGAATTGTGATTAAGTATCTACGAAACAAACATTATTTCTAGCTTATCCTGCAGAATGACAATCACGAAGACGCTTGGTGAACTTTAATAGTGCAGGGAGACAGGCGGTTAAGCTGGTTCTCGGCTGACTACTACACTTTGTTTAAGCGGATTCCAGTTTAACAGGCGGTCCCCTCTATCTGGTAAATTACGTCATAAAGGTGCGCATAATTGACGAACGTTTCCGGTGAAGGACATAACTCGAAAGTGGTCTTATGTTGTTTACATTTGGTCATGATGAGAATGCTGCAGGAGCATCTAAGAAACTCCATCAAGCATTTAATCAAAGAATTACATTTTTCAAGATTAAAAAATCAAAAGCTAAAAAGGAAGAAAATTAACATTCATAGATGAGATGCTTTTGAAAATAAAAGTATGTACTGATGGTTTGTGGAAAGACTCTTGACATCATTTAGCTTGAAAGGTTTGGGAGAAGTTCAATTGGAGAAAATTGGGTTAAATAATGAAGTTGTAAGGTTTTAGTACTAAGCTATCGGTTGGTAGGATTTACTTAACTGTATGTCTTGGATTTTCAAATACAAACGGCAATATTCTAGAAGATATGATCTGAACATCCATCCTAGTACAATATCTGATGCTAACAGATAACCTTCATTAGCACAAAGATATTACTTAGAAAGTGAAAGACTGTCAAAACATTCAATGTAGAGTCTGCACGTCTGATGTGGCAGGGCCTTTAGTAGTCTTGGGGAATCCAACATTAAGTATTTTAATAAAGATATGTCAATTCCTCACAAGGGTAATCGTCCCATACTGAATATTTTCCTTATAAACTTGATAAAAGTTGTTGTTGGTACCATACAATTTTCACTTCCAAAAACAAAAATAATGCAAAAAGAAACTGTATCTAAGGTTTTGTAGGGAAAAAATGATTTTGTCCAAACATTTTCTTTTTTTTCTTATGTCTGTGAGCCGATAATTTTGTTTTCTGGCAAAGTTTGAAAAATAAATATGTTATCTGAACTAGCCATAATTTTCGACTTATTCTATAGTTTTAAATCATTTATTTACACTCAAGCTACAAATATTACTATGACGTTTCAGATTTACTTTGAAATATGTTTTTACTACGCATCTTAAAAGTCATGGGTATTTCATGAGAACATGTGCAAACACATACAATAATATTTGCCAACTAGTGTTTTCGACCGTTTTTAGGGTACCCCAAAATTGGTCATATTCAATATACCGTACACATGATGAAAATTTCTCAATATATAAATGACAAAGGCATATTTGTTTTCTGACTGGTCAGTTTCATATGAAACTATAGATCCAATTTTGCCCATGTTCAAAGCTTTAGATTGCTATTGGTGTTGATCCGGTGGCAAAGCGATCATCATTCTACATAGTTTCTTATCATGCTACAGGACCCTAATCACCATTTTATCCCCCATATAGAATTTAACTTGGCAAGTCACAAGAACTTTAACACAAAGTTCGTTAAAGGCCCTTTTAAAAAAATCTCATTGACATGGTTGATATTTTTCATATACCAATTGTGTTATTGACTGATAATTTAGAATTCAAAAAAAAATATTTTGAAAGTGAAATATTCTTTAGAGGTGTCTATAACAACCCATAAAGGCTGAGTTAGAGATTGTGCAATTGTTTTTTGTTCATTATTAATATTAATATTTCTTTCTTTTTTTTTTTTACTTTTTTTTTCATTCTTTATTGTTGTTGCTTTATTTGTTGTTTAAAAAAAACCTCTTTTTTCATGTTTGAAAATCATACGTGAAAGGCACGAATTTAGTCACGATAAATAGATTAATAACTCCGGGAGATCATGCAAACTTATAGCTATTTTTGTAAAGTAAGTATAGATGTAAGTCGTTCTTTATATGTTGAAATACAAAATGGAAGTAGACAAACTCGACGTATTTAAATGGTTTGCATTTGCCGCCAGCGGTATTTTTGCTGGAGGTTCTATTTTTGTAAATGTTGTGGTTTCCCCATCTCTAATAAAGGTTACTGATCATGAAGCAGTAAGGAGAATTTGGAAAGAATGTTTTCGAAGAGCAGCAAAGTGGCAGGTATGTTGCAGTATACACTCGAATAATGTTTCTTTTGCACAGGAGCAGCATAAATAATAAATAGCCCTTTTTCTAGTACCAAATAAACTCCAACAAAGGTTATTAAAACCAATATGCATTAACTTTAAAAAATTTCAGGTAATATTTGGCCTGATAACGGAAAATTTCTCACTTAGGTATGAGCACCATTCAAATTTCCATAAATTGAAATTATCTACACTAAAGAGCAATTCAGTAATATAAGAAACTTCCAAGTTACCGAGAACAACAACGTAGTCATGAACAAAAAAAATGAAAACAACAAAAGACGATTTCTGATTCATAAAATAAAATCTTATGTTAACTATTTTTGTTCAACATGAAAAATAAAAGACACAGCTTTTGAAAGCTAACTATTTTCAGATACGAATATTACATGTTTAAATATTCAGGGTGTGGTGATCTCAGTTCTACAATCAAAAACATGTTTTTAAATATATATGTATAAGAATCGTCAGAATATAATTAGTGTAATTATAACATATTCATATACACATTCAGCTGAACTTAGTTTTAGTTTTAAATGTCGCATGTTTATACATGTATCCGTAATCCCGGCTATAAAATACGATAACCATCATTTTCCCCTTCTGCCAGTAAATAAAGTCAGCTTTACATAAGATTTACTTATTATTTATTTATGTATTTCTCTGTGCTGAGTGCTCTTGCGTTTGTTTGTACTGTATTCATGTCACGTAGTGTTGTCATTTTAGCGGTATTTTAAACATTGCCATATAAGCGGGATGTTTGGCTAGCCACAAAACCAGGTTCAACCCACAATTTTTTCTTAAACTGTCCTGTACCAAGTCAGGAATATGGCAGTTGTTATCAGACAGTCCGTTTCTATGTATGTTGGCGTTTGCTTTTGTTGTAGTTCAGTGTTTCTGTTGTTCCGTTGTTTTCCTCTTATAGTTAATGTGTTTCCCTCGGTTTTAGTTTGTTACCCAGATTTGTTTTTACTTGATCGAATTATGACTATTGAACAGCGGTATACTACTGTTGCCTTTATTTACAATCGACACAACCTTACGAAGAGTTGCTGCAATGTTTTAAAGTTAAAATTGCCTTTGAAGATAACACAAGAAATCATCAACATTTTTAATTGCATGCTTTTGTGGTGCTGTTATACCACTGTCCGTTGTATTGGTTTTCACGTTTGAATTTTTATACAGTTTTTCGTGTCGGGGCCTTTTATAGCTTATACTTTATCAAGGTTTGAGGTTTTGCTCATTGTTGAAGGTCATATGGTGGCGTATGGTTACCTACATCAACATCATTTAGTCTCTGGTGGATAGCTGTCTCATTGACAATCATATAACATCTTCTTATTTTTATATTAATAATCTTTTTCTATTTTCCTTTAGTAGACTTCAGTACAAAAATTAAAATTCGGAATATTAAATCATATTTTGAATTAATTGCAGGGTATAGTTATAAGCATGTGTGTGTGTTATAGATATATATAGCTACTGCACTTGAATAGCTTTTAACTTCATAGATGACATACTTCATTCTTACCTTATACAATTTTTGTTTGTGTTACTTACGATTGATTTTGTTTTGCAGGGATGACTTTGGTTGATAGCAACTGTAACTGGTGCTGCTGTCTGGTGGTTTGATGAATCCAGTAACAGAAATATTTGGTGTATAGGTAGCAGTGTCATGGCAACCATATTTCCGTGGACAATGCTCATTATGATGCCAGATGCTAACAGATTACTCAAAGATACTGCCCTCAGAGAACAAGGCAATTTAGTTACCCTCTTGAACTGCTATTCGAATTTAATTAATTTTTATTAAGATAGCCGTTTTTCATATTTTGTTCTATTTATAAAAGCAAACAATCAAATATTTCATATTTTTTTAGCTTAGTTTTATAAATAAACGTATGTGCATGTACTTTGTGTGCTTCATCAACGTCATATGATGCATATCTATTCATATCTGGTTTTCAAAACTTTTGGCTTCATGCTGAATACGATGTGGATTAATCCAGTCGTTTATATCGAACGCTAAAAACGGTACTCTGATGATAGCGTTAACCAATTCCGTTAATTGTAAATTACAAAAAAGTATACACTATAATCAATAGTGATGAACTCATAGTATGTATATCCTTTTCGGTTATAATGTCAGCAGGTAGTAAAACAATTAAAATTATTAATAGTGTATATACTGAAATATTTCAACTTTATTCAAGAATTCAAATCAAATATAACAAATATCAGTATTCTTTATTTTCAGGTGGTAATTGGGTACGTGCTAAGCTAGATGCCTATAACAAACAACACATGTATAGGAGTGTGGTTGGATTGTCTGTGTTCGGACTATGGTTGTATGCCATTAGTAAACCATAACTACGTGGCTTTCTTCAAGTACAAGATGTTGAGTAAATACACGGCTGACTTACTATTGTATTGTAGTGTGTTTGTACACTGACGAACCAGAAGCAACACAAGGGGGGTGGGGGGAACACACATATAACAATAACCAGTATAGACTGTTTTATAATATACTTTCACTTATGTAATAAATTGATATCCGTTGGTACAGTGTTGTTTATATTCGATGTTAGTGTAACATGTAACTTGTATAAGGCGAATACAAATCACAAAATGTAACTTGAATAGTAACAGCATGAAAACGATAACTACTGTATGATGCTCAACAATATGCCGGTACTTATGCTATTTAGGAACCTTAAATAATTACAATAAATAATAAGATCTGAAACAATTCAGTATCAAATATCCGAATGAAAATACTATGTTCCGAAAATGTTCTTTTCAAAATTATCTGTCTTCCTCTGATTCTTAACACTTGCGCGAATACCACGCTGAAGTACGTCCATTATTCATTTTTCATTATTCAAAATTCAATAATGAATAATGAAATAGTTCACTATTCACTATTCAATGTTAAGTGATGAATAATGAATAATGAAATAGTTTATGTTTCATTATTCAAGTTGAAGCGGTGAATAGTGAAATAAAAATTTAAAAAAATGACTGTGACACTATAGCTATATCCCGTATTTCTAAATTAGTCTTTTTGGTGTTATCTAACAAATATTCAAATTCATATCAGAAAAAATAAATAAAAACACTCTTTAAATTTTAATTTGATTTTTTAATCTGGTTCTTAGTTTCGGAGGATAAACTAGTGGGTTTTCCTAACTATTTTTAACAGAATTTCCTTGGTTCAATGTATGGACGACCTGAATACCAAAACATATATATATTAGATATATAAATTAAAATAATCTATGTGGTATTTTTTTATTTTCACTGGACCTTTGTTATTCTTCATCCTCTAATTATAGATATAACAAGTCGATTGTTCAGCAATGACAATTAGAGGGGTTACGGAGGACCTAAATGCCAAAATACGCGTGAAAATTAAGAAATAGCCAATTTTGAATAATGAAATGGATATTTTGAATAATGGAATGGACTGCTGCGACCCTTAAACCCCTAATTATAGATATACCTTATACCTCATTCGAAAGCTTATTAAGAGAGAAACAAAAGGTATATAGTCAATATGTTCTGCAACGCATATTAGAGGAGTAACGAAGGACCTAAATATCGAAATACGCGTAAACAATAAGAAATAGCTTATTTTGAATAATGGAATGGACTGCAGCAACCCGTCAGCCCCTAATCAAGGAAAAATTTATACACCGAATTAAAGCTTATTGATAGAGGAATAAACTGAGTATAAACGATATGTGCCGCAATGATCATTAGAGGGGTTACGGAGGACCTAAATGCCAAAATACGCGTGATAATTAAGAAATAACCAATTTTAAATAATGAAATGGATATTTTGAATAATGGAATGGACTGCTGCGACCCTTTAGCCCCTAATTATAGATATACCTTATACCTCATTCGAAAGCTTATTAAGAGAGAAATAAAAGGTATATAGTCAATATGTTCTGCAACGCATATTAGAGGAGTAACGAAGGACCTAAATATCGAAATACGCGTGAACAATAAGAAATAGCTTATGTTGAATAATGGAATGGACTGCAGCAACCCGTCAGCCCCTAATCAAGGAAAAATTAATACACCAAATTAAAGCTTATTGATAGAGAAATAAACTGAGTATAAACGATATGTGCCGCAATGACCATTAGAGGGGTTACGGAGGACCTAAATGCCAAAATACGCGTGAAAATTAAGAAAAAGCCAATTTTGAATAATGAAATGAATATTTTGAATAATGGAATGGACTGCTGCGACCCTTAAGCCCCTTATTATAGATATACCTTTTACCTCATTCGAAAGTTTATTAAGAGAGAAACAAAAGGTATAAGGCCAATATGTTCTGCAACGCATATTAGAGGAGTAACGAAGGACCTAAATATCGAAATACGCGTGAACAATAAGAAATAGCTTATTTTGAATAATGGAATGGACTGCAGCAACCCGTCAGCCCCTAATCAAGGAAAAATTTATACACCAAATTAAAGCTTATTGATAGAGGAATAAACTGAGTATAACCGATATGTGCCGCAATGACCATTAGAGGAGTTACGGAGGACCTAAATGCCAAAATACGCGTGAAAATTAAGAAATAGCCAATTTGGAATAATGAAATGGATATTTTGAATAATGGAATGGACTGCTGCGACCCTTAAGCCCCTAATTATAGATATACCTTATACCTCATTCGAAAGCTTATTAAGAGAGAAACAAAAGGTATATAGTCAATATGTTCTGCAACGCATATTAGAGGAGTAACGAAGGACCTAAATATCGAAATACGCGTTTACAATAAGAAATAGCTTATTTTGAATAATGGAATGGACTGCAGCAACCCGTCAGCCCTAATCAAGGAAAAATTTATACACCAAATTAAAGCTTATTGATAGAGGAATAAACTGAGTATAAACGATATGTGCCGCAATGATCATTAGAGGGGTTACGGAGGACCTAAATACCAAAATACGCGTGAAAAATAAGAAATAACCAATTTTGAATAATGAAATGGATATTTTGAATAATGGAATGGACTGCTGCGACCCTTTAGCCCCTAATTATAGATATACCTTATACCTCATTCGAAAGCTTATTAAGAGAGAAACAAAAGGTATATAGTCAATATGTTCTGCAACTCATATTAGAGGAGTAACGAAGGACCTAAATATCGAAATACGCGTGAACAATAAGAAATAGCTTATTTTGAATAATGGAATTGACTGCAGCAACCCGTCAGCCCCTAATCAAGGAAAAATGTATACACCAAATTAAAGCTTATTGATAGAGAAATAAACTGAGTATAAACGATATGTGCCGCAATGACCATTAGAGGAGTTACGGAGGACCTAAATGCCAAGATACTTGTGAAAATTAAGAAATAACCAATTTTGAATAATGAAATGGATATTTTGAATAATGGAATGGACTGCTGCGACCCTTTAGCCCCTAATTATAGATATACCTTATACCTCATTCGAAAGCTTATTAAGAGAGAAACAAAAGGTATATAGTCAATATGTTCTGCAACGCATATTAGAGGAGTAACGAAGGACCTAAATATCGAAATACGCGTGAACAATAAGAAATAGCTTATTTTGAATAATGGAATGGACTGCAGCAACCCGTCAGCCCCTAATCAAGGAAAAATTTATACACCAAATTAAAGCTTATTGATAGAGGAATAAACTGAGTATAAACGATATGTGCCGCAATGACCATTAGAGGAGTTACGGAGGACCTAAATGCCAAAATACGCGTGAAAATTAAGAAATAACCAATTTTGAATAATGAAATGGATATTTTGAATAATGGAATGGACTGCTGCGACCCTTCAGCGCCTAAATATAGAGGAAGAAAATATATTATCAATATGAGCTGCATTGCCGTATTCAAATGATAGTAAGGACCAGAATCTTACAAATATGCTTGTAAAAAAATACCAGTAAAAGCTTCACTGCCAACTGATGCTCCCCGAACTACATTTTATGTACATATGCTTGCAATTATAGTGAGAAAGAAGCAGGAACCTTCATTGAAAATATTTTGTCTGTATACATGTGTTGCAATTAATAATTGATAATGGGATACTTTTCCGAACCTGTATTTGAACTAATAGTAATTTTAACCTATTCCCTATATCAACCATCTGTATAAGTTTCTTTCCACCAAGCAAGATAAATCTGTGCTACTATCTGTATATCATTTTTTAGCTCACCTGGCCAAAAAGGCCAAGTGAGCTTTTATCATCACTTGGCCGTCGTCGTTAACTTTTACAGAAATCTTCTCCTCTGAAACTACTGGGCAATTTAACCAAAATTGGCCACAATCATAATTAGAGTATCTAGTTTAGAAATATGTCTGATGACCCCGCTTGCCAACCAACATGGCCGACATGGCTTAAAATAGAACACAGGAATAAAATGCAGGTTTTGTCTATTATCTTGAAAACTGCTTCTAATTGAGGCAATAGAGAAAATTAGACAAATAGAAAGAGGTTGAAATGTTCAAAATGATCAGGTCTACTTATTATCTATTATTTCAAAACTTTTGGCTAATATTCAAAAAATGATCAAAGCACATAGTCGAAATCGTCAGACGACTCTCGAGTTATTGTCCTCTAATGACGTTTTTTTTTTTATCAATTTGAAAAATAGTAATCAGATAGATAAAAACATAAGAAAGCAAAAATGATCAGCAAGATAAGTACCACAAATAAGTTTTTGTAGTATTTACTGTCGATTTTTACCAATATTTTACGTCTTTGCATACTATCTTGAAAACTATAAAAAAAAAAAATAGATAGACACTTAAAAAGCAAAAATCAGTGTATATAATGTGCGAATCCTGAAATACCATTTTTGCTGTATCCGTTATGAATTTCTAATATAGAATGATAAATAAACAGATGATTTTTGAATAAAATAAGAAATAATACATAATGTGTACTGTTTTTATAAATTCACAATATAGGTATGAGATGCGAACGGGTTTTCATCGCGCCTACAGCCATCCAGGTGTAAAATTGATACACAAATAGATAAATATTAAGAATAGTTCACGAACAGAGCGTGCAAGAGATTGAAACGCAGCAGTTAATGTTCATTTGCAGAAAAATGTACCTTTTAACATAATCATTAATGTTGTATAACTTAAAACAGGTTTTGTTATTCAGCTTGATGGTATTGAATTAAATTCCACTATTCGGTTTTCGTTATGCGATTCATGTTAACTGTCGAATAATGATACTAGACTTTCATTTTCACTGTAGGGGCGATTCATTTCTATTGTACATGCGATGCATTTTCACAGAAGGAAATTAATTAATTTTCATCATATAAAGTCTTAATTCAGCCGACTTTCTAGCAAAATTTGTGAAGTCAGAAGGATTGATTATATATGCATACTTTGTGAGTGAAAGTCTGGGGTAATATATCAATAAATTCCAAAAAAAATAGCATTTATTGCTA